CTTAAGGAAAAAATACAACATTATTATAAAAGGAAGGCATTAAAATGATTTGTGGTGTCTTTTGGACTTGTTGTTTCTTTGCCTATTTGCTTGTAGTCTATTCCTTTGAAGTGAACATCTTCCTCAAGTTAACTTTTTCTTGGTTAATCCTTCATACAGTAAGAAAACCCAAGCAAATTTGATTTTTGAGGGCTTAATCAACTCCTTTGACCAGGTAAATTATCTCATCATATTTAACAGAGTTGGATGGTCAATTCCTCATTCAAATGTCCTCTTGAAGTTTTGTAACATGAAGATGTTTTCCAACATCATGTCCAAGCAATAGCCAGCACATGGTGTCCAATATAGTGGGGTCATTTTGCCCCTAAAAACTTTCCAATTAAAAATTAGAAACCAAAAACAAAGATTTTTTTAAGTTTGGTGTGCATAAGAAATTTCAATGTCAGTTGTAATTGTATATTTATATTAGACGGCTATATCTAATACTAACTAGATATTTTTCTTTTTTAGGAGGCTTATACCTACCAACACATTTGTTGCAATCCTGTCCATGACAACTTGACCTCATTAACTTCTCCAATTTATCCATTTTTTCTTCATCCTTTGAGTATGCAAAAGCATCAATGAATTCAAAGAACATGCTTCATTTTGGACAATTCACTAAGACAATAGTTAAGGTTCTTCCTCTCTTGTCAGTCCACCAATCAGCTATTATGGAACATCCATATTTTGCCCAATCCTCTTGGTGATCTTTCATGAATGACTTGGTAGGCTCTACTTCTTTTTTGAGCAATGGGACCCAAATATCATGGTATAAAGATGGTTTCAAATCAGGACCAAATTGCCCAATAGCTTCAAATATTGTTGCAAAACTTTCGTAGTTCACAACATTAAATGGAGTTCCAGTGTCATAATCCACCTTGAAAATGATGTGTCGACTCGCTCTCTCACTTCCTTTTTGTAAGGATCGTTGACATCATCATTTGTCTCCCGTGGCCTTTCAATTTTGCCCACAACATTCAGTTCAGGGGTAAAATATCCATTCATACGCCTTTTTTGCCTTGACCTTTATCGTATGGACTTGACTTGTGCAAAACCTTAACTAGAACAAACCATGGATCTTTTACCATGCCCAACGACCTGTACAATATCATCTTCATCCTCTTCGAAGTCATTATACATCTCATTAAAGTCTAGAACCATGTTGATTTGTTTTTTCTCATTTTTTTTTTAGCCATGATGGCATCTGCTTCGTTCAATTCTAATACAGATGTGTTAGAAATGGAGGGCTTGGCCTGTGACTAGGGAGAAAGAACTTGGACATGCAGAAATATTCGTAAAGCCCCTAGGAAGGTGTTGCTTGACTCAATAAACTACCCCATTTGACTCTTTTCCACAAAAATTGTGCTTCAACTTAATCGGGGTTTGTGGATTTACCAAATGAGCATATTTCCATGTCGGATCTTTTTGTTCCCTTCGGTTGATGTTGACATTTATACTACAATCAATCATATTGATCACGAGCATATCAACCAAGCACTTAAAACACCTAAATAATGTATTCGACGATCAAACCAATTAAACAATTATAAAATTTAATAAATCAGTTAGCATTAGGTTCAATAATACAATGATTCCAATCACATGGAGACATAAAACCAAAAAGCAAACAACCCAAGATATAAAAACAGTAGCATAAAGAACAACAGTGACGCAAACTAAATAAAACAGCAGCAACATATAAACTAAATAAAATGAAGACATAAAAAATACATACATAAACGCATAAAAACAGCAAAATAAATGAATATATAAAAATAAAGACATAGAAAACCAGAAATCATACAACCCAGGCTATAAAAACAATAACAAAAAAAAAAGGATTTCCACCAAAAAAAAACTTAAGATTTGAAGAGGAGAAAAGGAGAAGAAGAAAAAGAAGCAACTGCAAATCTGGAAACACTTTTATTACTGTCTGGTCACTGCTGAGCCTAACCCTTACTAGATCATTTTTCTGGAAGCATGTTCAAAGTCGAATGAATATGACTCAAAAATCGTGTCAAGAAGAAGAAGAGAAAAAACCTGATGAATGTCGGGACTTCGAGTCTCCAGCTGCCCTAGTTCTCAAATAAATTATATCAATTAGGTTTAGCCATTAAGACATAAATATAAATAAGGGGCAAGCGATTGTTATCATAATTCAAGGTCGCGGTATCAATCATCAACTCAAAGGGCTCTGAAACACATCGGTCGCAAGCAAGGCAATACGACCTAAAAGAAAATGTTGAATATGATAAGAAATTCAGGTCACACAGCGAAATCATATCGGCTGATTCGGTAACAAAAACTCGACGACTCGGGATTGACTCAGATATAACTCGGATGGCTCAACTGAGTTGTGTAAGACTCGAGATTTATAGGTATAGTGCAACAGTATCGTCTTGGAAGTTGTCGACTCGACCGACTTATATATCTGTATCGGTCGAAATTTTGAACTATGATTGATATTGACATATCCTATTTTTGATCTAATTGATCAATATAATGGCCCATAATAGACAATGAAAGCAACTTAAAAACTTCACCATGGCTCTCGCTTCATCACTTTTCTCTTAAGTGTGAAGCGATCACCTAGATCACTTAAGCCTCACTTCTTTAAAGATCTCTTTGCCTAGATTGTCCCCCGCAACCTGAGCTTTCCTAGGTTATGCCCTAGGTCGTTTTTCATAACACTCAGACGGGCACGGGCACCTACACACGGAATGGTAGGATGGCTGATTGTGTTCTATGATTGGAGTATATCTTTCATACCAATAGTAAGGGATATGACACAGACACGCAAGTCATAAAGCGTGAATTTGCCTTGTATGCATGAGATGCTTCGAGCCATGGACAATCCATCAGCTGATTAAGATGAGGAATAGGGTGCACCATATACAATAGATGATCAAGTTGGCACTAATGATGTATTTTTATTTTTTTTTGGATAGTGTGTACGTGAACTACGTTTTCTTCAACTATGTTTCTTTCTTTGTATATGTTATAGAGTTTTGGTATATTGTGCATTTTACTTTCCTTTTTATACTTGTTATTTTTGGCAATTTGTGATAAAAAGGGACATAGCATGAGTACATATTGCACACACACATGGTTGTACTTGGTGGGAGAGAGCATCACTAAGCAAGGTTCATAGTTGTGGTATCAGTCATCGACTCAAAAGGCTCTGAGACGCATCGGTCATGGCGTCACGGAATCTTATTAAGTAATACGACCTAAAAGAAGACGTTGAACAAACAAGACATTCAGGTCATATCACGACATCCCAAAACAGCATTGACAAATTTGATGATGATAACTCAAAGACTTGACGACAGCGTTGACTCAAAAATGTCTTGGACGACTTAGCTAGGACATGAGGCACTCATGGTTTAAACGTAACTTCGGTATCAACTAATACTTTGAACCGTACAGAAAACAAAAATTCTCTACCTGCTATCATGGCCAGCAAAGAAGCCAAAGAAAACATTAGAATAACCTCCAACCTCTAGTCCAGTATCTTGTATGTGCCTAACTTCAATTATCAACGAAGCACAAAATCATGATTCCTCTCCTTCACCCACTCGAGGGGCCAATCTGATTAATTTTACATGGTTAAGTCAGTAGTGTAAAAATTTGCATGAAAATTGGTTAAATTATTTTCTTGCTTTAGTTGTCTAGAGGTTACAAATCTTCTAATTTTCGATAGACGCTTAACTTCAGAATAAACACTTACTTTGCTTATGATAATGTCTTTTCCAATGTTGTCACAACAAAGCAAGTTAGTTAGAAACATATATGCATTAACTTGGCAATAATGGTACTATAAACAAATGCAAATGTATGATGATTGATGAGTAACTAGTTATCGCTTATACAAGCAGAGAAATAGACATGTTATGGACTTATAAAGCCTCATAGAAATGTTTTGACATTGCCATAACTCTCCAATACTATCCTTCCATAATATAAGAATTCTCACACAGTTGGAATTTCTAACAAGTCTTCTTCTCCACGAAATCCATTAAACAAGAGTTACAAGACCTTTATATCTCCTTGATTAAGAATCGAAATCTTATCTTTTCATTAGAAACGCCATTATATTTCAAGTTCAAAAACTCCTGATACAAAGAATTGTCTTCATCATTATCTGCAATGTTCCTTAGTGTGGTGTATGTGTCTCTTTGCTTGCCTTAGTGTATCCCTCCAGTACCAACCAACCTACCCCAGCAGCAAGTAGCAGATAACATACTTACAATTCCTTCAAAAATTTTATTTTAGGAACCCAAACCTACCATTTGAAAGTATATATCTTTCATTTAATTCTGAAGTTTGAACCTCGTATTGGCTTGCCTTAGCAGCATTAATGATTTAATTGTTAACCAATGGTAATGGGATTTATTTGCTAATAGCCCTACCTTTGCCACAAGGCTAGGGCACCAGTTTCTTGTAGCATAAATTGGATTTAGGAGTTTTAAACTTCGCTAGATTTGGAAAAGGTATGATGACTAAATAAGTTAATCAGTCCCATTCTGGAACAATGGCATTTTTCTAAAGTTGTCACTTTCCTAATGTACGTTGCTTTCTGTGGAAAGAAAACTCAATCAGTTTTAACCAAAACAATGTGAACCAGACTTGCAAAAGATTATTGATAGTAAATGCAGATGAGAGACATTTACAACATACCAAAGTAAATCAAGCCATGAACACATAGCCAACCAATAGCAACGAACTAAGATCTGAGAATACCCAGTAAGCCAAGAAGGTGAAAGTCTAATGTGAAAAGAAGAACCTACTTTTTATACTTTTTTCCTCATAAGGGTGACCCTCTGCTCTCTGCCGGTGCTGGGGGGAGGGGGGGAGGGGGGATTCGTTTAAGCACAACTCATTAAATTTATTCTGTTTGTTAACATATGCAGTGAAATTAAAATTTATGCAGAATAAGAGATGTAGAAACTCACTTTTTGATGAGATACAGATACCAACTTCCAACCAGCAGCAGTAATGTACCGGTGTTTCAACATTGTATGCCCCAAAGGGACCCCTATAGAGAAGCATAAGAATATGAATTGATAGCAAATTAGGGATGACCATATCGGCCGAACCCATATGAACATCTCTGTACATAATACACTTCGATGTTCAAGAGTAAAGAACACCACGGTACCCACCAGAATTTCTCGAGAAATGAGTTGGCCCATCAATCTCCAGACCAACTTTTTGATCAACCAAGACTGCATCCAACGTGTACCCATCCACAGAATATTCTCGGACCCAATCAAGGCCAGTGCTGACAAGAAGACGAGCCACTTCCTTCTGAAATGAAGAAGTCATTTTCTGATTAAACCTCTTCGTTCTTCCAGCAGAAGCAATTTTCTCCTCAAGATCACTCCTGAGACACAACTGTAGATGGGGGTATTCAAGCTTCAGGCATTGGTTCACGAGATGAACCTGAGAAGCAAACATGATGTCCTCCCTATACAGCTCTGAAATTTGTTGCTCCTCAAAATGGCTGAGAGTTTTCCACACATGGGAAAAGAAAATCCGACTCATTTGCCCAAGAACAGCATAAGACCAGGATATATTCCCAAGCTGATCCCTATTAAAACAAAGCAAAGGAGGTCCTAGAACTCTTTCAAACTCAGATTCTCCAATAGTTCCTGCACCTCTTTCTTCACTGAGTTTCGATGTTTCTTCATGTAAGCAGACTTTCAACGGGTTTACATCCTTAAAAATAGTATCTAGAGATTCCAGGAAAGGGTCCACAGGCTCATACAGAGAAGCAAAAGCCCACAGCAACTGAGCAATTTCTTGCACCTTAAAAGTATGAACTATGTTCGATGCCCTCTTTGATAATTCATAAAAGAGATCTGGAGAGGAGTGGTGCATAAAAGCGAAAGCACCTGCTAAATTAGCTACATTTTGCGAATTGAACTCATCAACCTTGGTCAAGGCCACCTCTGCCACTCTATCCATTTCCGAGACATAGAGAAGCTGACCTCCAACCTTGGATAACGCCCATGCAATATTCGAAATACCTTGAGCCGAGCATTCCGGCAACGCCACCATTGCAAGACCCACAAGCATAGACATCTCTCTTTGACGAGCAAATGTCAGCCTAAGTGTCCTGATCATCGAAACCTTCTCCATGCTCTTAGCAATCCGATGAAGTGCAGTGGCAATGTTCAAAGGGGAGAGAGGGGAAGGGCTCAGGCCCTTCCCAACGGCCATTATTATATCTGCAGTAACCTCCAGTACTTTGTCTGCAGTCTGTGCTTCCACAATGGCTTTGTTCAGGCTAATTTCTTTGCTACGATCAGAAGGCCCCGATAACTGAGAAAGCCTCTGGACAAAGGCGTCCATCGTTACGTTCTTCCTTTCTATGAACATCCCACCTGAAATCCTACTCACTTTCCTCCTAAGATGAGTAGTATCATCCATAGAAATTACATTATCCAGTCCAAAATCATCCTTCTCCGAATCAAATTCCAAGTGGTCTTCAAATTCCTTGTCAAATTTATCAGTCTTGTTTTTGTTTGCCACTTTTTTCTTGGTCTTCTTTTTCTTCTTCTTGTTAACAGTTTCCAAATCCTCCATGGTACGGGCTAAGCCCCTTGCTTCGATAGACTTGAGGGCGATCTTCCTTGCCCTGACACACCAATCCATCATGTCATCAGTTTGTTGAAGCAACTTAGACTTCTGTTGCTGTAATCTCTTCTTAGGGGGCAAATAACTCAAAGGGTCAAGCTCTCTAACGAATTCTGCTTCCCAGTCCATATTAAAAACTTCTCCTCCTTCCTGTTGACTATCATCATTATCATCCGCAGTTTCAATGCAAAAGGAATTAGAATCTCTGGTTATATTTATTCGACAATTCTGAGTGAGGAAACCGAACTTGGAAAACCCAAGTCTTGAATTTGCATTAGTAACGAGATTAGGGAGTTTGAATTCTGGGGAATTGAAAACCACACAAGTAGGCAAGGGTGGTTTTTCAAGCATCTATAAGGAGTAGGAGAGGAGTAGGGAACGCGTTTGAGAATACCTGCATTTCCTCTTGTTTGTTCTTCCGTCTCTATCTATCTGAAACGAAATGAATGAATCCCAAGAACCTAAACTACATCACTTTAAACAAAAAAGAAAGGGTCAACTACATTCGGACCCTTGAAATTTGTCCCTTAATCGGATAGACCCTTTCAGGTATGAAAAATAATATTAAGACCCCTCAAGGTTTGGTCAGTTGTGACATATTGGCCCCTGACGTTAAATTCCATTTAACGAGCCATCCATTTTCTGATGATATCAGCACAATTTGGAAACAAAATTCCTATTTTACCATATGCATATTATTCTTCTTCAACTCACAGTGCTAAACACCCAAAAAATATTTACAAAATCCACATAAAGTATGAAAAATATTGTGGAGGTTAGAGACAGAAAAGAGAGAGATGATGATGGTGGCATGGTAGGAGAAAGAGGTGGGGGAGAGATGGGGAGGTTGCGAAGGAAGAACAAAAAATCAAGATCGAAGGTATGAGGAGTACTTCCAAAGAAAAAACCATCATGTATTCAAACCCCTATTTTCTCTTCCACCATAATTTCGATCTCTTGTCAACTCCTCTAAGATCAAATGGGATGACAAAGGCAGTGTGATAGAGAACTACAAGTTATTCAAAGAGATTTGTAAACCCACAAGTCTCCAACGCATTCCCTCTATAAAGTCGTCTCTCCCTCAACCCACTCAATCTAAACCTAGAAGATCTAAAGTCACCTCCACTACCTTTAGATTTGTAGATGGAAGATGAATTTGACCTTATTTTGCAGATTCAGGATGAGTTTGATGAGATTTGTAGATCTTTTGGGGTTTTTCAAATCTAAGATTTTTGGATCTTAGGGCTTTTACATGTTCAATAAACCTGTTGATGGCTTACTGGTCTTTTTCCTTCATCTGGGTATTGTGATGGGTTGTATTTGATCTATTGGTGGCCTGTAGTGTTGCTAAACTGAGCGAGAGAATGATAGTGTCGGCATACTGACGAGGAGATGTTGTCTGTGATATGGTGAGAAAAGACATATTTTTAGGTTTCGGGTTACTATTTTTTTTTTTGTTAAAGGGTAAAATAATCATTTCATCATTTCTATTAGGTATGTTATGTTAACGGTAGTAGCAGGGGGTGGTAGTGTTATTTTTCATACTTGAGGAGGTCCATTTTATTAAGTAACAAATTTTATGAGGTCTGAACAAAATTTACCCAAAAAGAAAAGAATCATTGGACCCTAATATTTGAAATATTATATACAGATTTTTTAAGTTTGTATAAAGAACATTTAAACCCTATCTTTAATGTCCGTTAATATATTCGTTAATAAATTATATTCAGACTTTCAAAAGTTTGTAAACATATAATACTTAGATTTTTCAAGTTTAAATATTATATTTAAACAAAAAATACTCCAATCAAATATACAATATCAAATATTATAAATTTATAACCAAAATTCATGTTTTATTATATTATTTATTGAATAAAATTAAAAATAAAAATTTAATTTTTTCTTAAAAAATCGTAATTAGTATACAATTATACTATCGATTGAAATAAAACTAAAAAAATAAATAAGGGGTCTAAGTCATTTCATAATAGAACATGAGTTTTATAGCGAAAATTTATGTTATTTTATGTCATTTATTGAAATAAAATAGAAAATAAAAATTTAATTTTTTCTTAAACATCATAATTAGTATGCAATTATACTATCTATTAAAATAAAATTAAAAAATCAAATAAAAGTCAAATTATAATTGACACAATATCTTCTAACTTTAATTGGGGTAATTTAGTAGTTTAATTTGGTTGTTTAAATGACAAAATTAAATTCCAATAGATAGTATAATTGTATATTACTTATGATTTTTTAAGAAAAAATTAGATTTTTATTTTGATTTTATTTCAATAAATGTTATAATATAATATGCATTTTGATTGAAAAATTTTAAAATATTTGATATTCTATATTTGATTAAAGTATTTTTTGTATAAGTATTACATTTTAAATTTGATGGGTTTAAATATTATACGCCTACAAATTTTAGAGAGTGTGAGTATAATTTACTAACGATTATATTAACGGACATTTTAAATTTGATGGGTCTATATATTTTTGGTCTAAATATTACACGAGTTCAAACTTTAGAGGATTTGTGTATAATATTTTAAATATCAAAATAATTGAGTGATTAAATAACAAATTACAGGAAGTTTATGTGGAATTCTCCCAAAAGAAAGACAAACAATAGCTCTTAAATTACTACCATTGTTCATGATAATTTGTCGAATTGAAAAGGACTAGATAGATACATAGGTCGATAACCGGCAGGGGCACTAGTAACTAGAAAAGGCAAAGGAAGAAGCATAGCGTAGGCCTTCCTAGCAACTTTGAAATATTTGAGAATGAAAAAAATGACACAATTTAGAAGTGAAATGAAAAGTAGAACTTACACAGTACTTGCTCCATTTTAATGATTAGCTCCCTCCAAGCTCCCACCCCTCTCTCTAGAAATTTGTATTGTTTTTTATGAGAGGTTTCCATGAAATGATGGAAAAATGACACGTGGTCTCGACATTGTGACTCGCGGAGCATCCTTGAACTGACACATGTCCTTGGCATGGAACTCCTTAGAGCTCTCCTCGATTGACACATGTCCTCGACATAACAAGACTCAAACTCTCAAGGAAGAAACACGTGTCCTCGACGTAGGACGCCTCAGAGCATTTTTTTGTTTGACACGTGTCCTCGACATCAAGGTCTCTCAGAACCTTCATTGTTTGACATCTGTCCTCGGTGCCTCAAGTCCCCCAAGGAACTCCCTATTTGACATGTGTCCTCGACATGGGATTCCATCCCACCGAGGTGTTTACGATCATCTCGGCGCTTGGCCTATGCCAAATGGCCAAGTTCCCAAAAGAGTCAAGAATTGTGTCGTCACATTAGAAGCAAGATTGGCTATTAATCATCAATTCCTCTTCCCAAGATAGTCAGAGTGACAGGAAAGACAGTTTGATAACCAATGGTGAGACTATACGACTTACAAAGCCCAGATGACATGACCTCTTGGTGGGCATTGAATGGAAATACCCCTGCACATGCACAACCATAATGGGGAACATTAAATGATCCTTCAAAAGGATGAGACGTATTTATTGCTCGGCGAACCCAAAAAGGCATGCATTGAATGCTCGGGGATCTGAGCATTGAATGCAGAAGCTTCTATCACAAGGAAAAGGAGGCTCACTGCTTAAGGACTGGGCACTACCTGTTGCCTTCCAAATGGCCCAATGAAGAGCCTTCCCTTCAAGGGACCTGGCAATCCGCAATGATTAACTCCAAAGAGGTATAAATAACTCTCATAAACTCAAGTCTAAGGTATGCAAATTCTCACTTAAGCAATATAATAGTGATTTTTTCACCCCTTTCTCACATATTGACTTGATTGTCAGAAAGGTTATGCCATAAAACACTCTAGCGCCCTTCTAACCTTTCTTTTTGAGTGAAATGACTTAATTCGATAATTCAGGAGTGATCAAACAACTTGCAAGGACTTTCTTCACCACCATTACTCAATATCTAATTGTTGTGGAACCTACGACTTCAAAGGTGAACTTGAGTTCATCATGGGAGAGATATGTCTATTCATTTATTGTGCAAAAATTATTGCGCAAATTTGGCGCCATTTATGGGAAGTGACAAGTCTTCTAAGTGATAGTGACCATGGTGAACATGTATTTGAAAGAAAAAGGTCCTTAACAAAGGAATATGGACGTGCCAGCTCCATCAATTTCAAGAACAGAGGATTACGTTGAAAGCATCAACAAGGAGATTTCGGTCCATTCTAGAGAAAAAAACCCATCAAACTGAACTGAGTCATGAGAGTGAAAGAGATGGGCCCTTGACTCGTCAAATTTTTGATCTCATTGAGGAGTGTTTGGGAGATTGTCTAAGGCAAATCGAGGAGAACAATGTAAACGTCCTCAACAGACTCAATGAATTTGCATTCTCCAGCGGAGTGTCTAGAAACTTACAACAGTCCAAGGAGTCCTCGGTCAAGGATGTGGGAGATGGCAACTTAAGGAGCTAACTCAGTGGCGGAGTGGGGGGCTCTAAGACTCTGAAGTGCCCAAGGGCCAATAGACAGGACCTGGAGGTCCCAGCTAAAAAGGCTAGGTCTTTAGTTTAGAACGACATGCGTTAGAGAATGATTGGGCGACGGGGAGTAGAGGGGTCCGTCAAGGGGTCAACCCTCTATTGTCAAGGATAGAGGAGGCGGGGGGGGGGGGGCATGCGGCCCATGGGGGCGATGGTGAAAGGAGACACCACAGGGATGGGGGAGACCTTAGGGTCAAGTTGGACTCCATAAGGATGGGCAAGCCCACCTCCGATGTTGACACAAATGATGAAGCCATTTTGTCACTATTCACCAAAAACATCATGAAGATGGAGGTACCAAAGTTTGTGGTACCACGATTCAAAGTTTATGATGGACATTTCGACCCAGAGGCTCATCTTCGGCAATACAAGTAAATGATGTCCCTATACCACTCAAATCATAGGTTGTTTGTGCTAGGTGTTTTCAATAAGCCTAGATGATACAACCATGAAGTGGTTCGAATCAAATAGCATAGGGTCTTGAAGGAAGCTAACCAAACAGTTCTCCGCGCGGTTCATCGCGGGGAGCAAACGTCCTAAGGATGTCGGATCCTTCTTGACCCTCTGGTGAAAGAAAGGTGAAACACTCCGTCAATACGCCACTCATTATTGGGAGGAGGTAAATGAGCTGGAAGGATGTTCTGAGGTCATGGCAACGACCTCTTTTAGATTTGACCTATCTCAAGACACAGACCTTTATAGGTCCTTGACGAAGTGGACGCCAGTTGATATGGTCAAGTTGATGGTCTACATCAACAAGTACTCTTGAATATAAGACACATTGGTGGGGAGTAGAGGAAAAAACTTAGTCCCAAAGAAAAAGGATAAAGAGAAGGAGGTAGTCCCTCCTATGAAGGGTTTAGTCCCGGCGACGAGGAACTCCTTTAAAGGGATC